ATCCAAGTCCTCTCCATTCCCGGAAAATTCCCGGGATTTGAAGCTGGGAATGATCCAGGAGCCTCCTGGAGGAGAATTCCCGGGATTTGAAGCCGGGAATGATCCAAGTCCTCTCCATTCCCGGAAAATTCCCGGGATTTGAAGCTGGGAATGATCCAGGAGCCTCCTGGAGGAGAATTCCCGGGATTTGAAGCCGGGAATGATCCAAGTCCTCTCCATTCCCGGAAAATTCCCGGGATTTGAAGCTGGGAATGATCCAGGAGCCTCCTGGAGGAGAATTCCCGGGATTTGAAGCCGGGAATGATCCAAGTCCTCTCCATTCCCGGAAAATTCCCGGGATTTGAAGCTGGGAATGATCCAGGAGCCTCCTGGAGGAGAATTCCCGGGATTTGAAGCCGGGAATGATCCAGGATCATCCAGGAACGATCCCTAAAGCCGCCTCCTCCCTGGGATTTAACCAGAAAATTCCCAATCCTTAAAACCTGGAACTGAAATCCCGAAATTTGGGAAAATTCCGAGGGAAATCCCACCGGGATTTCCTTTGGAAAAGCCGGAAAGGGAAAGCCGGAGGTTCCGTTCCGGGTTGGATTTTTCCGCCCGTTTCCTCCCTTCCCGAGTTTTCACCTTTCCCGACATTCCCGTCCTTTGGTGTCGGAATTTCCTGGGGAAAATTCCCAGGGAAAAATGGGAAAGGGGGAAAGAAAACAGGGAAGGGAAATGGGAAAAAGGGAAAGGAAAAGGAATTGGATTTTGCCGTCGGATCCAAAGCCGGATTTGCCGTTCCCTCTTTTCCCCCCAGCCCATTCCCATCATTTCCTCTCCGGAGCCCCTTCCATGACACAATTCCCGAGGATCCAGGGAAAACTGGAGCCCTTTCCATGACACAATTCCCGAGGATCCAGGGAAAACTGGAGCCCGAGGAATTCCCGGAGTTAACGAAGCTGCCGTGGAGAATTCCGGAGGGATTTTGGGAGGAGCTGGAATGGTTTGGGTGGGATCGGAACTCGCTCATCCTGAATTATTCCGGGATGTTCCTGTTGGCTCATCCCAAAAATAAATCAAAGGTGATGGGATGGGGAAAATCCGGGAATGGGGAAAATCCGGGAATGGGGAAAATCCGGGAATGGGGAAAATCCTGGAATGGGGAAAATCTGGGAATTAAAAGTGATGGGATGGGGAAAATCCTGGAATGGGGAAAATCCGGGAACGGGGAAAATCCAGGAATCAAAGGTCCCAGGATGGGAAAAATCTGGGAATGGGGAAAATCCGGGAATGGGGAAAATCCCGGAATGGGGAAAATCCGGGAATGGGGAAAATCCCGGAATGGGGAAAATCCAGGAATGGGGAAAATCCGGGAATGGGGAAAATCCGGGAATGGGGAAAATCCGGGAATGGGGAAAATCTGGGAATCAAAGTGGCTGGGATGTGGAAAATCCGGGAATGGGGAAAATCCTGGGATCGGGAAATTCCTGGGATGGGGAAAATCCAGGAATGGGGAAAATCCGGGAATCAAAGGTGATGGGATGGGGAAAATCCGGGAATGGGGAAAATCCAGGAATCAAAGGTCCCAGGATGGGAAAAATCTGGGAATGGGGAAAATCCGGGAATGGGGAAAATCCGGGAATGGGGAAAATCCGGGAATGGGGAAAATCCCGGAATGGGGAAAATCCGGGAATGGGGAAAATCCAGGAATCAAAGGTGATGGGATGGGGAAAATCCGGGAATGGGGAAAATCCTGGAATGGGGAAAATCCGGGAATGGGGAAAATCCGGGAATTAAAGGTCCCAGGATGAGAAAAATCTGGGAATGGGGAAAATCCGGGAATCAAAGGTCCCAAGATGGGAAAAATCCGGGAATGGGGAAAATCCGGGAATGGGGAAAATCCGGGAATCAAAGGTGATGGGATGGGGAAAATCCGGGAATGGGGAAAATCCTGGAATGGGGGAAATCCGGGAATGGGGAAAATCCTGGAATGGAGAAAATCCGGGAATGGGGAAAATCCGGGAATCAAAGGTGATGGGATGGGGAAAATTCCATTAAAAATTTGGGTGGGATTTGGGGTGTTGGGAAGCGCAAAGTGAAATATTCCCGGTTTTTCCTGGCTGGATCCCGTGGGATAAATTCCGGGATCCGTCGCTTCCGGCCAGCGGAAGGCACCAGTATAAACCAGTTTGGGCGGGATGAGGGATGGAAAGGATTCCCAATCCCAATCCCAGATCCAGGCAGAGCTCGGAGCGGGGCCGGGAACGGGGAAACGACGGAACGGGATCGGAATAAACGGAGCCGGCAGCACCCCTCAGTGGAGTTTAGATCATCCCGAATTCCCGAATTCCCGAATTCCGGCACCACCAAATCCCGGAAAAGCGGGATCCGGCTGGGGCTGGGCACGGATTCCCGTGGCTGCTCCCAATCCTAATTCCCAATTCCAATTCCCAATCCAATGTCATTCCCAATCACATTCCCAATCCCATTCCAATGTCATTCCCAATGCCATTCCCAATCACATTCCCAATCACATTCCAATGCCATTCCCAATCACATTCCCAATGCCATTCCAATGTCATTCCCAATCACATTCCAATGTCATTCCCAATCACATTCCCAATGCCATTCCCAATCCCATTCCAATGTCATTCCAAATCCAACTGCCATTCCCAATGCCATTCCCAATCACATTCCAATGCCATTCCCAATCCAATGTCATTCCCAATCACATTCCCAATGTCATTCCCAATGCCATTCCAATGCCATTCCCAATCCAACTGCCATTCCCAATCACATTCCCAATCACATTCCAATGCCAATTCCCAATCCAATGACATTCCCAATCACATTCCCAATCACATTCCAATGCCATTCCCAATCACATTCCAATGTCATTCCCAATGTCACTCCCAATCCAACTGCCATTCCCAATCACATTCCCAATCCCATTCCAATGTCATTCCCAATGCCATTCCCAATCCAACTGCCATTCCCAATCAAACTGCCATTCCCAATCACATTCCAATGTCATTCCCAATGTCATTCCCAATCCAACTGCCATTCCCAATTCCAATTCCCAATCCAACTGCCATTCCCAATGCCATTCCCAATCACATTCCAATGTCATTCCCAATGCCATTCCAATGTCATTCCCAATCCCACTGCCATTCCCATTCCCGATCCCATTCCCATTCCCATTCCCGATCCCATTCCCATTCCCATTCCCAATCCCAATCCCAATCCCAATCCCATTCCCAATCCCAATCCCAATCCCAATCCCATTCCCAATCCCAATCCCAATCCCAATCCCAATCCCATTCCCATTCCCATTCCCAATCCCATTCCCAATCCCATTCCCGATCCCATTCTCATTCCCATCCCATTCCCATTCCCAGTCACATTGTCACTTCCAAGTGACACTGACATTCCCATTGTCACGGCTGTTGTCAATCCCATTGTCATTGCCAGTCCCATTCCCGATCCCAATTCCCAGTGTCACTGACAGTCCCAATTCCTAATGTCACTGTCACTGTGTCACTGTGTCACTGTGTCACTGTCACTGTCACTGTGTCACTGTCACTGTGTCACTGTGTCACTGTGTCACTGTCACTGTGTCACTGTCACTGTGTCACTGTCACTGTCACTGTGTCACTGTCACTGTGTCACTGTCACTGTCTCACTGTCACTGTGTCACTGTCACTGTGTCACTGTCACTGTGTCACTGTAGGATTTCGACATCATTCCTTTAATTAAACTCCTTAATTAACCTTAATTAACAATCAATGAGCCACGATTCCCTCAGGAATAATGCAGGGGTTTGAGCTCGGAATTCCGGGATCATTCCAGTCGGAATTCCGGGATCATTCCCGTCGGAATTCCGGGATCATTCCCATTGGAATTCCGGGATCATTCCCATTGGAATTCCGGGATCATTCCAGTTGGAATTCCGGGATCATTCCCATTGGAATTCCGGGATCATTCCCGTCGGAATTCCGGGATCATTCCGGTCGGAATTCCGGGATCATTCCCATTGGAATTCCGGGATCATTCCGGTCGGAATTCCGGGATCATTCCCGTCAGAATTCCGGGATCATTCCCATTGGAATCCCGGGATCATTCCCATTGGAATTCCGGGATCATTCCCATCGGAATTCCGGGATCATCGAGGCATTCCCAACATCCCAATTTCGGTATCTCTGCTCCCTTGGGAATTCATTCCGATTCCTTGGGAATTCATTCCTTGGGAATTCAATCTGATTTCTTTGGAATTCATTCCTTTGGAATTCATTGCTCGGGAATTCATTCCTTGGGAATTAATTCTGATTTCTTTGGGAATTCATTCCCTGGGAATTCATTCCTTGGGAATTAATTCTGATTTCTTTGGGAATTCATTCCCTGGGAATTCATTCCTTGGGAATTCAATCCGATTCCTTGGGAATTCATTTCAATTTCTTTGGGAATTCATTCCTTGGGAATTCATTCTGATTTCTTTGGAATTCATTCCTTTGGAATTCATTGCTCGGGAATTCATTCCTTGGGAATTAATTCTGATTTCTTTGGAATTCATTCCTTTGGAATTCATTGCTCGGGAATTCATTCCTTCGGAATTAATTCTGATTTCTTTGGAATTCATTCCTTTGGAATTCATTGCTCGGGAATTCATTCCTTCGGAATTAATTCTGATTTCTTTGGAATTCATTCCTTTGGAATTCATTGCTCGGGAATTCATTCCTTGGGAATTCATTCCTTGGGAATTCATTCCAATTCCTTGGGAATCCATTCCAATTTCTCTGGAATTCACCCCAAAACTTTTTCCCGCTTATCAAATTCCAAGGAAAACGACCATTTCCCGACACCGGCTAAACCACGGATGCACCACATCAGAAATCCCGGAAAATCCCAACAAATCCCCAAAAAAACCCCTCAGGATGAAGGATCCAAACTCCTCCCCCCACCCCCAAATCCCGGATTTTTTTTCCCGTCCCGTTTTCCCGGATAAAATTCCCGCTTCTTACTTTGGATCCTGGAATTGACGAAGGGAGGGGAGAGGTTGTCGTGGGATCCGAGCTCTCGGCCGCCCACGTGCTCGTAGTGACTCCCATCGCCGAAATTCTGCCGGAAAAAACACGGAAAAACGGCCTTTGGAATGTCGTCATGCCGGAAAAAACATGGAAAAACACAAATTCCCACCCTTGGAGAACAAAATTTGGGAATAAAACACAATTTCCCACCCTTGGAATGTCGTTATCCCCCAAAAAAATCGGGAATTCCCGAATTAATTTTAATTATTTCCCAATTTTTTATATAAAAATTGGGAATAAACCACAATTTTATGTCGTTACCCGAAAAAAATCTGGAATTCCCCAATTAATTTTAATTATTTCCCAATTTTTTATAAAAAATTGGGAAATAATTAAAATTAATTCGGGAATTCCCGATTTTTTTGGGATAACGACATTCCAAGGATCTAAAATTGTGATTTATTCCCAATTTTTATATAAAAAATTGGGAAATAATTAAAATTAATTCAGGAATTCCCAATTTTTGGGGGGATAACGACATAAAATTGTGATTTTTTTCCCAATTTTTTATAAAAAATTGGGAAAAAAATCACAATTTTATGTCGTTATCCCCCCAAAAATTGGGAATTCCTGAATTAATTTTAATTATTTCCCAATGTTTTATAAAAAATTGGGAAAAAAATCACAATTTTATGTCGTTATCCCCCCAAAAATTGGGAATTCCTGAATTAATTTTAATTATTTCCCAATTTTTTATAAAAAATTGGGAAAAAAATCACAATTTTATGTCGTTATCCCCCAAAAAATCGGGAATTCCCGAATTAATTTTAATTATTTCCCAATTTTTTATAAAAAATTGGGACAAAAATCACACTTTTATGTCGTTATCCCCCAAAAAATCGGGAATTCCCGAATTAATTTTAATTATTTCCCAATTTTTTATAAAAAATTGGGACAAAAATCACACTTTTATGTCGTTATCCCCCAAAAAATCGGGAATTCCCGAATTAATTTTAATTATTTCCCAATTTTTTATAAAAAATTGGGACAAAAATCACACTTTTATGTCGTTATCCCCCAAAAAATCGGGAATTCCCGAATTAATTTTAATTATTTCCCAATTTTTTATATAAAAATTGGGAATAAATCACAATTTTAGATCCTTGGAATGTCGTTACCCGAAAAAAATCGGGAATTCCTGAATTAATTTT